CCGCCCCCCGCCGCCCCCCGCCGCCCCCCGCCGCCCCCCGCCGCCCCGCGCCTCCCCGCCGCCGCGGTTTCCATGGCGACCCGCGCCGCGCCGCTTCCACCCGGCAGTGTCCGGTTCCACCGCGCTGCCCCGGCGCCGGCCGCCGACCGAGACGGGGATTCTTGTCTAGGACAGTCAGGCTAAGAAGTAACTGTTATTATTATCATCATTTTGCTTATTGATTTGAGTATTTCTTCTGCCCATTTCTTATTTAAAATAAGCTTTAAGAGTTTTTTGGTTTTGTTTTGCTGGTGGGGAGGGAGGAGCAGAGGAGCACGTGCGATGTGTCTTTCTAGTACTTTTATGTAACATTTTCACCTTCAGATTCAGATGCTTGCGACAGACGGACCGACCCGCTGGCTGAAAGAATTCATGATTTGTACCTGCCTTAGTGATTGACCTTTGGATGCCCTTCCTTTACTGTCAGGTCCCGCCTTTCTCTCCATGGGCTGCTGCCGCAGCTGAACCAGCTGGAGGACTTGCTCTAACCTGTGAGCTCTGGCTCATTCTATCAACCTCCCTTAGGAGAGGGCACCCCTTCTGGACGCGCTGGCGGTTCTGGTGGTCAACCCTTCGGCCTGGGCATTCCCTCACAGGGCTCCACAGTCAGCAAGGCCCCGGTGTTTCAGCTAGTCAGGTCCACCCCAGGGGGCCTATCAGCTTTTATTTTTGGTTACCCAGGATGACCGCCGGATGACCGCTGAGTCAGGGTGCTTCCCCGGGGCAGTTTGGCTGTTTAGGATGACCTGAGGCTAAAGGGGAATCTAGACCTCTCAGGAGGCCGGTTGATGTGCGATGGGGGAGAAGTGGGGAGCGGCGCTGCTTTTACTTTTCACAGTAACCCAGTGGGGACCTATTATTATGTAACTCCATTGTACAGCAGAGGAAAGGGAGGCACAGAGAATTCCAGAAACTTGCCCAGTGGTGGAGTCCAGAATTAAACCCACACAGCGTCTGGCTTCCAAGCTCACAATCGATACTCTGAATTTAGCTTCATTTTCTTTTGCCCTAATGGAGGTTTTATTCAAGCCCTACCCCCTCATTCATTTAATTTAAGTCAATTCATGCACTTATTAACAGTGAGCTGTTTCATTTCTGCCCCACCCCTTTGTTCCACTGGGTCGAACATAACCATATCCATTTTATTGACTTTTGTATCTGGCACACAGTAGGCTCTCAGGAAAGTTTGACAAATGAATAAAGAACAAAAAGAATGAGTGTTTCAGAGTTTTTGCATTTATCATATAAATTTGGAGGAGAAGGAAACATAGCAGGTTAACAATTATCTTTTCTGGAACAGGCACCTAAGATATTCTATCCCCATTTATTCCTGTAGCATGAGATAGGGAAGGAGTGTAAGTCCCATTTTTTTCCCTCTTTTTATGAATGAGGAAACTGACATTAAGACATAATGCTTACTCGTGGGAAGCTGAGATTTAAATCCAGGATTGTTTTTGCCTGACTCCAAAATCTGCGCTTTTTCCACATACCACCCTGCCAGCTGGAGCATCTAGAATGCTGTAGTCGTGGTTAAGGGGAAGGGAGACATTTTTTTTCCTAAGTGAAAGTTTGATTGTAGGTCTGTTATTCTTTAGCCGGTAAACAAGCATGTGCACGAGAGGAGAGAGATGGACGGCATGCAAAGGACAGCCAAGTGCGGAGGCTGGGAGGGAGCGCCTCATGGAGAGAAGGCTGTGCTTTCCCTGGGGTCAAGGATCCTGGCTTAGGGAATCCTGAAGCTTCTATATTAAAACAGGGCCTGGGAAAACTAGAAGCGTTTTATCTATCAGCAGCTTCTATCACAGGCTTGCCTGAGAAGGAATTGCAGGTGGTTTTATTTTAAAGCAAGAAGGTATTGTGTAAGCACCAGAAACAGAACAATGGAGTCTGTTGGGTTTGGGGGGAGAAGGTTTGCTGTGGAGTATGTGGTGTTTTTCAGAGTTTGTCTTGTGTTTCCTGGTTTGTATTACTAGAAGAAGAATCTCTTCTGCATTCTAGTCATTTACCAGGGCCCCTGTGGTTTGGCGTTAGGTGAAAGACAACCTCTGTTTCAAGTCTGTAACTAATACATTGTCCTAGTTTTCCCAGCACTTGTGTTAATGGAGTTAATACTTCTGTTTTCTTTTCTCCCATTGGTTGCCCTTTGTCTTTACTACCTACCCCCTGCTGTCCCTCTCATTGTGTGATTAGTACCTTAGCACAAGAACTAGTCTTACTAGTTCTTGTATTAACCACCCCCCTTGCCTTTGCCTTGCCTTCTGCTCCTCCCCTAAAGTCTTTAGGGGTGACAGTGAAGCAATGCTGGTGGCTGCCCTGGAGAATGCTAGCATCTTGTTATGCCTGTAGGTGGCATGGCAGACTGCAGGCTGAGGAGGGGCTGGGAGGTAAGGCTTAATTCTTGGAAGATTCCAGTGGATTGCAAGAAATAGTATTGAAACAATGAAGAACTGAGGTCCAAAATAAAGATTGGTCAACGGTTTATAGTGACTGTGGCTCACCCTGCCCCCACGATCCGTAGCCCTTTGCCTAAGCGAAGATTTTTCTGGCTAAATTCTCTCATCTGGAAACCTCCATGCATGGTGTTCCTTCTGCCTGAAACATTCTTCTCTCCCTTCTCCTGGCTGGGCTAACCTGATATAGCCATCAGGTCTTGGCTGAAGTAATACCTCTCCAGAAGTCTATTGCTATGCCCCTCCAGTGTGACCCCCAGCATCCTAAGCCCCTAAGATCACACATGTGAGACTGCACTATATTTGCTCGTCATATGTAATCAAATCATATATCATCATATATAAGAATATTAATACTGCCCTCCCCACAGAGTCCCTGTAAATGGATTGGGTTTCTATAACTGGAGGCACCTCTAGGTATCTGAGGTTGAAGATTTCCCTACATAAAAAAGTTTGAGAAGCTAGGTTGGTGTCCTGCATAGGGGATGGTGGAGAGGTAAGGAGAAACCTCTGTTGATTGGAATCAAAGGTACTTGATTTTGAATAGGGTTTTATGAAGTTGTACCCTCTGGGTCACACAGTCTACCACTTATAGGAAATCAGAAAGGCTAATACAAACTTTTAAGTACTTGATGTGTTTAGATTTTTTTGTAGAAAAACTTATCAACTTAAAATAGACTGTTATAGATATAAGCTATTATATGTTAGCCTCATGGTAACCACAAAGCAAAAACTTACAGTAAATACACAAAAGATAACAAGAAAGGAATGTAAGTCTACCAGTAAAAAATCAAATCACAAAGGAATAGAGCAAGAGAAGAAGAAAGGAACAGAGGAACTACAAAAACAGCCAGTAGACAATTAACAAAATGGCAATAAGTACACACCTATTAATAATTACTGTACATGCAAATGGACTAAATTCTCCAATCAAAAGACTTAGAGTGGCTGAATGGGTTAAAAAACAAGACCAATCTATATGTTGCTCACTTTAGATGCAAGGACACACACAGACTGAAGGTGAAGGGTTGGAAAAAGATATTCCATGCAAATGGAAACCAAAAGAAGGCTGAAGTATTTATACTTACATCTGACAAAATAGACTTTAAAACAAAGATTGTAATGAGAGACAAAGTTGGATGTTACATAATGATAAAGGGGTCAATCCAGCAAGAGGAGATAACATTTGTAAATATTTATGTACCCAACATAGGAGGGCCTAAATATATAAAGCAGATATTAACAAACCTAAAGGGAGAAATAGACAGCAATATTATAATAATAGGGGATTTTAATGTCCCACTTATATTGATGGGTAGATCATCCAGACAGAAAACGAATAAGGAAACTGGTCTTAAACAACATTAGACAAGTTGGACTCAACAGATGTATACAGAACATTCCATCGAAAAGCAATAGAATATACATTCCTCTCACGTGCACATGGAACATTTTCCAGGCTAGCTCGTAAGTTAGGCCATAAAACAAGTATCAATAAATTTAAGAGGATTGAAATCATATCAAATGTCTTTTCTGACCACAGTGGTATAAAACTAGAAATTAGTTATCACATGAATAAAACTGGAAAATTCACAAATATGTGGAGATTAAACAACACGAAATCAAAAAAATCAAAGAATACCTTGAGACAATGAAAATAGAAATAGAATAGAAATACATATATATAAATAGAATAGAAAAACTTGTGAGATGCAGTGAAAGGAATTCTAAGAGGGGAGTTCATGGCAATAAATGCATATCTTAAGAAACAAGAAAAATCTCAAATAAACAACCTAACTTTACACCTCAAGGCACTAGAAAAAAAAGGGCAAAGCCCAAAGTTAGTAGACAAAAAAAAATAAAGATTAGAGCAGAGATAAAAGAAATAGAGACTAAAAAGACCATTGAGAAGATCAATGAAGCTAAGAGCTGATTCTTTGAAAAGATAAACAAAATTGAGAAGCCCTTAGCTAGACTCACCAAGAAAAAAAAAGAGGACTCAAATAAATAAAATCAGAAATGAAAGAGAAGGTGTTACAACGAATACCACAGAAATACAAAGGCTCATAAGAGACCTCTATGAACAATTATATGCCAACAAATTGGACAACCCAGAAGAAATGGATAAATTCCTAGAAAGATACAACCCACCAAGACTGAATCACGATGAAATAGAAAATCTGAACAGAAAGTTTACTAGTAAGAAGACTGAATCAGTAATCAAAAGCCTCCCAACAGAAATGCAAATCAAAACTACACTAAGATATCACCTTACACCTGTTAGAATGACAAAAATATCTAAAACTAATAGCAACAAATGTTGGAGAGGTTGCGGAGAAAAAGGAACCCTCAAACACTGCTGGTGGGAATGCAAACTGGTGCAGCCACTATGGAAAACAGTATGGAGATTCCTCAAAAAACTAAAAATAGAACTACCATACGATCCAGCCATCCCACTACTGGGTATTTATCCAAAGAGCCTGAAGTCAGCAATCCCAAAAGTCCTGTGCACCCCACTGTTTATTGCAGCACTGTTTACAATAGCCAAGACGTGGAAGCAACCTACGTGCCCATCAACAGACGAATGGATAAAGAAGATGTGGTACATATATACAATGGAATACTACTCAGCTGCAAAACAGAACAAAATCATTCCATTTGCAATAACATGGATGGACCTTGAGAGAATTATGTTAAGTGAAATAAGCCAGCAAGAGAAAGATAATCTGTGTATGACTCCACTCATATGAGGAATTTAAAACTATGGACCAAGAACAGTTTAGTGGATACCAGGGGAAAGGTGGGGTGGGGGGTGGGCACAAAGGGTGAAGTGGTGCACCTACAACATGACTGACAAACATTAATGTACAATTGAAATTTCACAAGATTGTAACCTATTAATAACTCAATAAAAAAAAAAGCCAAAAAAAAAAAAAAAGCCTCCCAACAAACAAAAGTCCAGAACCAAAAGGCATCACTGATGATTTCTACTAAGTTTTCAAAGAACTAATACCAGTATTTCCCAAATGCTTCCAAAAAGTAGAAGAGGAGGGAACTCTTCCAAACTCACTTTATGAGGTCGGCATTACCCTGATAGCAAAAGCGGACAAGGACACACAAGAAAATAAAATTAAAGGCCAATATCCCTGATGAAAATAGATGCCAAAATGCTCAACAAAATATTAGCAAACCAAATTCAACAAAACGTCAAAAGGATCATATGCTATGATCAAGTGGAGTTTATTCCAGGAGTATAAGGATGGCTCAACATCTGAAAATCAGTCAATATGATACACCACATTAGCAAAATGAAGGGTAAAAATCCTATGTTCATCTCACTAGATGCAGAAAAAGCATTTGAGAAAATTTAGCATTCATTTATGATAAAAAGTCTCAACAAAGTGGGTATAGAGGGAATCTACCTCAACATAATAAAGGCCATGTAAGATAAGCCCATAGCTAATATCATACTCAACAGTGAAAAACTGAAAGCCTTTCTTCTAGAATCAGGAACCAGACAAGGATGCCCACTCTCACCACTTGTATTATAGTAGTGGAAGTCCTAGCTAGAGAAAATAGGCAAGGACAAGAAATAAAAGTTATCCAAATTGGAAAGGAAGAAATAAAACTGTCACTATTTGCAGATGATATGATATTATACATAGAAAACCCTAAAGACTCTATCAGAAAACTGTTAGACTAATAAACAAATTCAGGAAAGTTTGCAGGATACAAGGTCAATACCCCAAAATCTTTTGCGTTTCTGTACACTAATAACGAACTATCAGAAGGAGAAATTAAGAAAACAATCCCACTTACAACTGCATCAAAAATACTAAAATACCTAGGAATAAATTTAACCAAGCAGATGAAAGACCTGTATATTTAAAACGACAAGACATTAATTAAAGGAAATGAAGAAGAAACAAATAAATCAAAAGATCTTCTATGCCCATGGATTGGAGGAATCAATAGTGTTAAAATGTCCACACTACCCAAAGCAATCTACAGATTCAATGCAATCCCTACCAAAATTCCGGTTACATTTTTCAAAGATATAGAACATATAATCCTCAAGTTTGTATGGAACTACAAAAAACCTGAATATCCAAAGCACTCTTGAGAAGACCAAAGCCGAAGGCATCATGCTTCCTGATTTCAAACTATATTACAAAGCTATAGTAGTTAAAATAGTGTGGTATTGGCATAAAAACAGATACATTGATCAATAGAACAGAATCGAGAGCCCAGAAATAAACCCACGCATATATGGTCAATTAGTTTATGACAAAGGAACCAAGAATGTACAATGGGGAAAGGACAGTCTCTTCAATAAATGGTATTGGGAAAACTGGACAGCCACAGGCAAAAGAATGAAACTTGACCACTATCTTACACCATACACAAAAGTCAACTCAAAGAGGATTGAAGACTTGAACATAAGACTTGAACCCATAAAAGTCCTAGAAGAAAACATAAGCATGAGCTGCTTGACACAGGTTTGTGCAATGATTTTTTGAATCTGACACCAAAAGCAAAAGTAACAAAAGCAAAAATAAATGTGGAACTAATCATACTAAAAAGCTTCTACACAGCAAAGGAAATCTTCAACAAAATGAAAAGGCAAGCTTTTCCTTCCACAGAAAAGGAGACAATATTTGAAAATCATCTATCTGGTAAGGGGCTAATATCCAAAATATATAAAGAACTCATACAACTCAATAGCAAGAAAACAAAGAATCTTATTAAAAACTAGGCAGAAAATCTAATGGACACTTTTCCAGAGAAGACATACAGATGGCCAACAGGTACATGAAAAGATGCTCAACATCACTAATCATCAGGGAGATGCAAATCAATACCACAGTGAGATATCCACACGTGTCAGAATGGCTGTTTTCAAAAAGAGAAGAAATAAGTGTTGTCAAGGTTGTGGAGAAAAGGGAATACTTGTACTTTGTTGGTAGGAATGTAACTTGGTGCAGCTACTATGGCAAACAGTATGGAGGCTCCTGAAAAAATTAAAAATAGAACTATCATATGATCCAGCAATTCCACTTCTAGGCGTTTATGCAAAGAAAATGAAAACACTAACTTGAAAAGATATATGTAGCCCCGTGTTCATTGCAACATTGTTTACAATAGCCAAGATAGGGAAACACCCTACGTAGCCATCAATAGAAGAATGGAAAGAGAAATGGTCGTGTGTGTGTGTGTGTGTATATATATATATATACGTATATATATAAAATATATATTATATATAAAATATACACACACACAATGGACTATTATTCAGCCATAACAAAGAAGGAAATCTTGCCATTGAGACAACATGAATGGACCTTGCGGGCATTATGCTGTGTGAACTAAGTCAGGTAGAGAAAGAAATACTGTATGATCTCTCTTATATGTGGAATCTAAAAAAAAAAACCCAGCTCATAGACACAGAGAACAGATTGGTGGTTGCCAGAGGCAGGGGGTGAGGGAAGGGAGAAATGGATGAAGGGAGTCAAAAGGGAAAAAGAAAAAAAAAGGAATTATAGCTTATCATATTAAAAATTAAATAAAAGAGGTACAAAAAAATAAATAAGGGACCAAGTTCAGTGTATTGACTGGCATAGGGCCAAACTAGAATCATCAGCACGTTCAAGGAAACAGCCATACATCAGGTGTCTGTCTTCTCATCTGTCTCCTGCTTTAGACCCCAGGCAGCTGAGCTCCATGCATGGTTCCTGCCATGCGTACCATATAGGAGACCCTCAGTAAAAGTTGGCTGAATTGAGAACCTTGTTTCTAGATTGCAGTATGGAGTACATACCGAATGTTTTAAGTAAGCTTTTGAAATCGGGACCATTTTTTTTTTAAAGATTTTATTTGTCCTTTTTCTCCCCAAAGCCCCCCAGTACATAGTTGTATATTCTTAGTCGTGGGTCCTTCTAGTTGTGGCATGTGGGATGCCACCTCAGCGTGGCTTGATGAGTGGTACCCTGTCCACACCCAGGATTCGAACTGGCGAAATACTGGGCCGCTGCAGCGGAGCGTGCAAACTTAACCACTCGGCCACCGGGCCAGCCCTGAAATTGGGACCATTTTGACAAGGCCAAATGGGCACTTGAAAAAAGTCAAGTGATGTCTGGGACAGACACTCCTCAATTCAGAGATGTGTCAGACCTGGGGACAGGATAGTGAGAAATTGAAAGATGTCCATTTCACACAATCCTTGGTAATTTAAAAAAACAAAGAGATTTTTTTTGTAATATCAAGAACCCCTTCAAAATGTCCTGATTCTCATGGAGCCCTTGCAGGAAGGGAGAGCAGTCCTGCCCCTAGAGTGGGGAGTTCTTAACCACTGAGCACCTTGGCTGGGACCAGAAGTCACTTTTCAGTACTTGTGAATCAGGACAGAGTAGGAGAAAAAGCGCTGGATGTGGGACTAGAAGATCTGACTTGAAGTCTTGGCTCCTCGGGTGTTATTTTGTGTCTGGACAAATCACAGATGCCCTTGGTACCTCACTCCCTGCATCTGAAATGCTCAGGATGGCTGCAAAGATCAGAGGAGAGAACCCGTGGGAAGGGGCCTTGCATACAGGCTCTGTCTCAGAGTCATTAGTATCGATCGGGCTTGCGTGCATTATATTATTCCTTCATTCAGAAATTTCCAGAGGCTAATGTATGGCAGATATGCTGAAGGACTCTATGCATACAAACAGTATTTTTTTGGAAGGGTGTTTTTTTATATCAGTAATTTTCAAATTACTGGAGGTGCCTCAAGGGAGACTTGGTGAGTCAGGCAGAGGAGGGTGGAAAGCCTTACGTTAGGAAGAAAGGGCTCTACTGATTAATTTTTTTTTGAAGTGTGGATTTGTCAGGGGCCCAGCTTCCATGAGTAGCGTATTTGATGGATGGGTGACCCTGAGGTCACCTTCTCTCTTTTTTGCTTGATCTGGAGCCTTTCTGTCTGTCTTCATCATCCTGGCCCTCCCTGCCCTGGCCTGAGTTGGCAGGGCATGTAGGAAGGATAAATTGGTATGAGATGGTTCTACTGAGCGGATCTGAATAAGTTTTCTTGTCCTGCCTTGTCCTCTTCCTCTTTTCTTCCGCTTTTAGACTTCTTCCTTTTGTTCTTTTAAAATTCCCATTCCATTTATAAAAATCAAAGTAACTTATATACCTGGCTAAAAAAATATTAAACAGTAGAAAAATCTTGAAATAAACCAAGCTACCCTTATTTAAAAACCATCTTCTATTTTATAGTCACTTAGTTAGCATATATCCCCTGCAAAAGACAAAATTAACCTTTCTTATTCAGTGACTAAGACCCATAGCATGATTGAATGTGATAAAGTACTAATGATGAAATTTTTCATAGTTTCTCTTAATATTTTAGTTGCCTTGATATTATAATTACAAAACTGCCCTCAAGTTCCTATCAAAATCTTAGTTTGTTTGTAGGATGTTAGTGGATGTGGTAGCGTCACATTGTAGATAGAAGAATCATCGATGAGTTTTTAAAAATATTTTTGCCTTTTATTCTTAGATGGATCCCTTACCCCTGACACTGACTGGACATTCTCCATGGAACGAGGCCGACACTCCTCAAACCCGCGACCTAAAGCACTTACGAGCCAAACGTGTGGCTTACTATGAATGCATTGGGATCATCAAGAGCGATGCTTCCAGAAATGGCAGCCAAGCTGTGTCAAAAGCTTCCCAAGACAACAAAGTGAATCCCTCAGAAAGCCAAACCTTCGGGGTGAGACCTCAGAGGTCACCGCGTTACTCGGCAGTTGGAAAGAAACCTCTGCGCGAGGAAAGGTCCAAAGTGGCTCCTGGAGAAGCAGAGCAGTGTCAGGACCACAGGGCCCAGGAGGGGCCCAAGGGAAACAGCTGCCCAACAGAACTGGATCTCCATCTGTTGGCCGATGCTTTGGTCCCTGAGACACAGAAGCTGCGACATGTTATAAATTGGGCCCAGAAGTTCTTGTCCAACCCTCCAGAAGAGCGTGGGTTGAAGAGGTCCACAACTTCTCTAGGACTCCCTCTGTCTAACCTTTATCAAAGTTCAGAAGCTCTAGGAAGTAAGCGAAGTGCCCATCTGAGGTCATCTGATTCTCTACCCCTGAACAGAGAAGACCAGTCCAGCACACAGACAGACATTCCCAGCTGCCCTTCAAGGCCCCAAAAGAGCTGGTCAGAAACAAGCTTGTCTTCAGAATTTCCAGGTTCCTTCCTGAAGGAGGGTTTTCTGGGCAGTCACTCTTGTGGGTGGCAAGAAACTACATTTAGGAACGAAGGGGAGGGAAGAACCACTACGAGCTCTCCTGATAGTCTTCAGATGGAAGATTCTGCTCAAGAAAAGTATGAGAGAGCAGGAGATATTCAGACCCCCAATGAGGACGAGATGTTTCCCGAGGGGCTGGGGGCTCAGCTACAGTTGAGACACACTTCTGAAGAAAGTAAGGTTTTAGAGGAAACCAGACAGAACCCACCCAGAAATGGTTACTTCTGGACTCCACTGACAGACAGCTCAGAGGAGGAGCGTTTGGATGAACCTGGGGAGAGCAGAGGCACACCCGGAAGGAGTGTGCTAGGGAGGAGGTGCAGAGGGTTTTCAGGAATTGCCTTGTCTCCCACAAGTGACAGCACACTAGTGTCAAAGACCATGGTGCTGAGTGCGGCTTCCTTCCCTCAGGAAACACCCCTGGAGGCTGAAGTCAGGGAGGAGCGCAGAGGAGCAGCACAGTTCCCTGTGGGGACCCCCAAGGATGTCACAGTGGAATTCAGGGCTGACAGTTCCAGAGGTGAAGACCCCATCCAGAGACTGCTTGAGGGTCAACGTATGCCCCGCTATGACAGCTCCAGTGAAAGGAGAAAGGAATCAGACCATGTGGGGTTCACTTTGGGGCCCCCTCAGACTTATATTAAGCATAAAAATGAGTGGAAACACATCATCACAGAGAGAGCGGGGAAGACTATCACGGGGAGAGTACAAAGAGGCGGTCCGAACAGGAGTGTGCAGAGTTCTGCTGAAAGCAGTGCTCCTGTGACAACTCAGAGGCAGTTTGCTCTAACTCAGCCTGAAAGTTATTTGGCCCCTCAGATTGCCAGCCTCTTGCTGAATGTCTCAGAGGGCCCCTTGCAGAATGCTGCGTTTCATGGACGCACAGGTGCCGGTGTCTTCTGTGGACCCACTGCAGATGCACATGGTGCACGTGGCAGCACTTGGTTTGACGAAGTGCCACCATCTGAGATGAATGACAGATCAGTACAGACACCTCGAATGATCACCAGGCAGACAACTCATGAGCAAAAGGAAAAGACACTGCCTTCAAGTTGCCCCATTTCTGGAGAGATTTCCAAAACTGGTTTGAAGGGATCCTTCCCACTCCAGGATGTTGGCCTCTCCTGGAGTGATGAGCCGCCCCATGAACAGGAGCCAGGGGCCAGTGTACTGGAGACATATTATTATTATTTGCATATGTTCAACAAAATCAAGAGTCTCTCTTCAGAAGAGAGGAGCTCCTCTTTGCCTTCCCAGGAGCCTAGACTGTCCAAATCAGAGTCAGTAATCACATCTCCACGAGGGAAGGGCAAGTCCAAAGGGGCCAGCCTGGACAGGGAGACCAAGGAATGGAGAGATGGGAGTGAGAGCGATGCGGCTGTGGAAGGTGAGGGGGCCCCCTGTCCCCAAGGACATGGCTGTGCGGAAGAGGCAGCTGTAGAAGAGACCAGCTTTTGGGAACCTCAAGGCAACTACAGTATGAAACCAAAGCTGGGGAGAAGAGTCTCATGAGCAGCTCATTTGTACACTTGTACATGCCATGTGGCCATTGAGGATGAGACACAAGTTCCTTCTTCATGTATTGCCTCTCAGCTTCAGTTTCCATAAATATAAAATGGGAGCTGTCATAGTCTCTTTGGGCTGCTATAACAAAAATACCGTAGACTGGGCGGCCCAAATAAACATTTATTTCCGGAGTCTGGGAAGTCCAAGATCAAGGTGCTAGCAGATCCAGTGTCTAGTGGAACCTGCAACCTGGTTCATAGATGGCTGTCTTCTCACTCTTCTCACATCACGGAAGCAGAGAGGGGAAGCAGGAGCTCTCATGACTCTTATAATCTCATCACTGGGGATCCACCCTCATGACCTTGTCTAATTCTAATCGCCTCCCAAAGGCCCCACCTCCTAATGCCATCACACTGGGTAGTAGGGTTTCAACATAGGAATTTTAGGGGGACACAAACAGTCAGCCCATAACAGGGATAATTATCAGAGTCGAGTATAAATGGTAAGATATTAGGCAAATACTAGTTTTATTTTGGAAAACCAAAAGCCATTAGGTAATTAATAGTAATCTTAGAAAATAGTTTTTCTGAAAGAGAAATGCTTCAGCATTCTCCTGGGTGAATAGATATCACTCTCAGGTGCTTGCATTTTCCATGAGCATGATGGTTCTATTCATTGTGCTGTCTAGTAGTTTGTTTGGAAATAGGCATTGTATGCCCTTCATCTAAAATACATTTTAATAACCAAGCATTAGAAAATAGAATCTGCCTCTCTAATTTGAGTGCTGTGTAGATAGAAAATGAATAATGCATTTTCATTTCACAGAATAAGTTCAGATTAGAATTTAAAACACCTTACTAGATCTTTATCCAAAAAAAAATTCTTATTTGAATTGATTCTCTATTTTTTGGAACTAGGTTACATGATTTGTTATAAACAATAGCAAAATATAACATTCCAAAGCTATTTTGAGATATAGCTGAAATGGTAGAAGACATATATTACTAAAGTATACTTATAAATATTCTTATAAGATTTGGGAAGCTGAGTGACGGTCCATCAGTGCAGATAATAGAGTAATTCTGCAAATAAAACCTATGAGCTTAATATGAAATGTGAGGGATTTGTAACTTTTTATTTTATACTTTTAGGGAAGTTATGCTCTGCTTCCCCCAAAATGACATCCAGAATGACCAGCAGTGAGGGATACTGGGAAATGTCCAGCCCTGCATGTTCATCTCGCAAACACGGAGATGTGAAGCCAAGGTTTGACTACGCTTTTGTTTTGATAAATTATATTAGCATTTTCAATAGCTAAGTATCAACATTGACGGTCTTCTGAGAAATTAGTTAACATTCTAGTTTCTACAATGTGGTAAAATCAACTATGTATTGAAGGTATACATGGAAGATACTGTACAGAGACAGTACAGTGTATAATGGACACAAAAGGGAAAAAGAGCCACTTACTCCAGAGTATGAAGTTCTGTAAGAGATGTGCAAATAAAGTGCTTGGAGAGCAAAAGGAGAAATTATTGTACAGGTGGAATCAGGAGAGGCCTTATTTAGCAGATGGTAATTAAGGAGCCTTTGAAGGGTGATTAGGAGTTCAACAGGTCAGAAAAGGGATACCAGTTGGTGGAAATAGCATGAGCACAATCTAGAGGTAAGATTGGATTTTGGATTTTGTTGAAGGAGTAATGAGTTCTCTAATGTCATTGCATATATTAGTCAGGATTATTATGGTTGCAAGTGATGGAAGCACTACTCAAACTAGTGGGGCAAAGGAAAAAATGAACTGGTTTATTTGAAAATTAGTTCAGGTTTCATCTAGCAACTCAACACAATGACATCAACATACAACATCTCTCCATTTCTGGTCTGCTTCCAAGATGGCAAGAACCCTCATCCATCTTTCATATTATATTTGGCTATGACTGTAGGGGTGTCTCCTAAAGCAAATTCTCCAGAGAGTTCCGCGACTTTATTTTCTGTTTGTTCTGGGATCCTTAACCAGTGCTGGATTACAGAAATTGAAGTCAAAAGCCTTGAATATGAATCATGGCCCTGCCACTTGTTAACTGAGTGGCTCTGGTTGAATTACTTACACTCTCCAAGATTCAGTTCCATCATCTGTAAAATAGGTATAATATTTACTCTATCTGCTTTGGAGGATTATTGTGAAGATTAAATTAATAAAGTATATGGAAGTGCTTTGAAAGTTATAAAGTGCTATACACACGTAAGATGTCATTAGTAGAAGTAATATTAATAGTATGTCTCTTTGGTATATCCCAACTTAGCCTCGACCTATCTGACCTTTTCCGTATATGTTTATACCCCTTTCATAAAACAGTCCCATGTCATTGTCATCATCATCACCATCCTTATCAAAACAGTAAATGTTTATTAAGTGCTTGCTCTGTATGTGTCAGGCATGTTGCGTGCAGTGTCTCATTTATTACTCCCAGCAGTCCATTTTACGGAAGGAGCCTCTCAGTTTAGAGAGTTGAGGATCTTGTCCAAGGTCACCTAGCTAGTAGGTGGCAGAGCCAGTGTCCAAACCCATCTGACATGAGAACTCCTGCTCTGAACACCTCCACTCTACTTCCTCTGCAGACTCCTTTTTACAGGCCTGCGGGTCATCAACACCACATTTCCTAATCACTTCACACCTATGCCTATGTCGCCACAGCTTCAGACTCTTTCAGGTACTGCATACATCTGTTCAGATTGCTTGTTGTCCTGAATGCCATCCCTCAAATGTGACTGTGAACTTTGGGCTGAGTATATTTCGCTGTGAAGACCTCTGTATGTTGTGTGATGTTGATGCATCCCTGTGTTGAATTATAGATACTATGCACCATTAGATTACATGTTTGTGTGGTTTTTTGAAGTTTAGGACGTGGAATCCATTTTTATTATTTCATCCAAGGTGTTGGTGGACAACCCACCATCCAAGGGTATGTGGGTTAATTGTCTGGAACCAAACTTATCAAAAGCACTTTTCCCTTAGGAACCTTGATTCTTTCCCAGAAATGAGTTTGGCAACAAAATCTGTTGTCCCCCTAAGTTCATAGTACCCATAACCAGTGGAAGTGCAGGCCTTGAACCTTATATCTTGCACTCAGAATTCCAGACACATACATACAGATTGACGTGGCCATTTGAGTATTTCACTGGAGCGCCACCCTTGGAAGGTCTGAAACTACATTCATGGGTCCTGCTGTTCATCCCATAATACCCCTGTTCCTCTGTAGTGTCCATCTAGTGGCTGGTACCACTGTGCACCCAACTTCCCTGGCCAGAACACTGAGGCCATCCCTTGCTCTTTCGTCTTCCTCACCTCCATATTTGATCCATCCCAAATCTTGTCCATTCTTATCTCTTAATTTTTTATGTTTTATTTTTTTGCTGAGAAAGATTTGCCCTGAGCTAACACCCATTGCCAATCTTCCTCTTTTTTCCCTTTTTTTTTTTATGTGGGCTGCTGCTATAGCATGGTTACTGACAGACGAGTGGTGTAGGTCTGTGCCAAGGATCCGAACCCGGGCTGCTGAAGCGGAGTGTCTCAGACTTAACCACTAGGCAACCAGGGCTGGCCCTTAAATATTTTTGGAATCCAGCTACTCTTCTTCATGCTCACCCCCTTACCTTCAGCTCTCCCTGGAGGACTGCCATAGCCTCCTACCTTGTCCCTCTTAACCGCTCTTACTCTCAGTCTGATCTCGTCTCCATACTGCCATCAAGTGATTTTTTTCAAACACTGAGAAGGTCACTCTGCAATGGATTGCTGTTGCCCTTGGAATAAAGAAGAAACATATTAACATATCCTGCTGGGCTCAGAGTGGTTCCGCCCATGCCTCTCACCCTCTTCACTCCAGCCACAGGGCCGCCTTCAGTTCCTATGGCACAGTGCATTCTCTCCCGCCCCAGGCCTCTGCACTTGCTGTTTCCCCTGCCTGGAGTGCCCTCCCCACTGCCAGCCCCTTACTTTCTTCAGTGATAATCACTCTTCAGATCTGAGTTTAAGTCTCCAAGGAAGGTCCCCACCCTACCAGCCTCAGACTAATTTGGTCTATTGTCTGTTTGCTCCCAAGGCAGCCTGTTTTCCTCTTTCAGGGAACTTATCTAAAATGTATCGAAATAAAATGTAAGGAAGGTCGACAAGAGCAGCTTCAAGTCAGTGTAGCTCACTAGGAACTAATACTGTGGTTAGCACTTACTAAGAGCTCAATATTTGTTTATTGAATAAATGCAGAAATTAAATATAAGGGTTGTGGGAAGCTATCCTAATTTTGTTTGTTTGTTTGTTTGGTGAGGGAGATTTGCCCTGAGCTAACATCTGTTGCCAATCTTCCTCTATTTTGTATGTGGGATGCCACCACAGCATGGCTTGGCTAGTGGTAGAGGTTGGTGCCCAGGATCTGAACCTGTGAACCCAGGCCACCAAACTCAACCACTACACCACTGGGCCAGCCCCTGTTATCCTCATCTTTAGTGGATTGCCATGTGCCTGTCTGTCTATCATCTATAATATATCTATAGATTATTATATATGAAATACATGTGTATTATATATTTCATATATATAATAATTTCCATTTTGCTAGCTTTAAGAGTTAATAGTTGGGTCCTTTTAAGGAATAATCCAGATAAGAACATCTTTCTCTTTTAAATATTCTTTTCTTTTTTTAAAAGCCATTTCTCGTTGAAACTTTTTGAAAATACATTAGAAAGCTTTCTGCCATTTTAAGGTATGCTGGTATAGTTAAATATTGTCTTGATAATTGACCTTCACTAGGAATGTTCATTATCTGTAGGTCTTTTTGTTCTCTCATTATTGTCATCTGTCTCACCCCTGAGTCATTGCAGCTGCCTATTACGTCATTTTCCTAGCCTGATTTTCCTTCCAATCTGCTTTAGCTTTAGAAATTAATTAAACATACTTGTTAAGCTTGTTTGTCAAATAAGAGTTAATAAGGCTTTGACTGAAATCCTAAGGAGTAAGTGCATGGTTCTCTGACACAATGTTATCTTAGCTCTTTCGCCTGTGCCCTGGCCTCGCTTCTGGATGCTTGAAATAGTCACAGGTCTGATAATCTGGGAAGAGAGATATTACCATATATATTCATGCATTTAAGAGTGAAAGCATTCAAAATAGAATGCAAACTACTCAATAAATAGAACTGAAGAGAACACAAACCAAGCATGAAATTGCACCAAGTAATTTTCCCTATCTACATACTAAGTAGAGCTAGATCTGCCGGAGGTAACTAATTTGTAGTTAGGAAGGGAAGAGAAAAAAATCCCATTAATATTTACAGTTAGCCCAACTGCTGTAAATTGATCCACATGGCAATAAATGTTTTATTCCAAAAATCTTCCTCACAATTCTATTTTTTGTGAAATAGGGCTAGCTTGCTTAAAGAGTTGCCCCCAGAATCCAATTAGTATTTCAGGGTATCTCCATTAAGAAGACCTCTGCAAAGAGAATACCCAAGCTATGACATTCTCTACTTTTGAGGCACAATTCAAAATTATTTCAGCAAAATATCACAGGAAGACACTTTCCACCCTGCCAAGAGTCCTGGCTGGGGTGTTACTCGGCATTCTGTTGCATCCTTTTGGTGCACAGTTTGAGGCTGAATGAAGTGGGCTGTGTGGAGGACTTCATTCCACACAAGGACACGAGGGCAGCTGTCGTCCCATCAACAGCCAGGGCTGAGTAGGCTGGTCTGACTTGCCAGGCAGGTGTCCTTCTTCCTCAGCTTCTCCAGGATTCTCCCAAACCTGTGTCATTGGCTGGAGGGGATGATCTTTCTAAGAAGAGGAGGACCATCTTTCCCATCAAAAGGACCAGCTTTCCATAGCTGTGTTCCCCTGTTGTAATTTTGCATCAAACTCTTTCAGATGGTGAAAGCCTGTGAGTACAAAGTCCTAGAGTCCGAGGCCTAACTGGAGAGGGACGCCCTTGATTCCTTGGACCCACTTCTGGAGCAAAGTCAACTGGAGGTCCTGTCCAGAGTGGCAGCTTCACCTCAGTCTTGTTGCCTTGGTAACCATAAGAACCTTCTGGATCTTTTCACATTTCAGAGGACTTGACTTAACTAATTCATGTAAGAAACTTTTTGAGACCCTATTACGAGCAGACACTGCCTTAGGCACAGTGAGCAAAACAGACAAAAAATGTCATCCGTCCCTTTGCAGAGGAGCTTACATTCCAGTGTAGTGAGACAGGAAGGCAAGTAAAAGTCAAAAAGTAAACTGTAAGATGTGGCAGGTGGTAGTAGAAATTTTGGAGGAAAATAAAGCAGCAAACGGGAAACAAGTGTGTTGGAGATGTTGCGATTTTAAATATGGGGGCCGGGGTGTCCTACTGAGACGATAATTGAGCAAAGACCTGAGGAGAGGCTCTAGGAAAGGATCTGGACATGGCAACAGCTAGTGCAAGGACACTACCTTCTTGTTGGTTTGTGTGTTTGTGTGTGTATGTATCTTTTTTGGAAGAATTTTATGCATATGTGTGTGTGTGCACACACGCATCCTTAACAAATGTACACAAATACCATCTTTAAAGAGCATGCTGTCTACTCCTTTCTTACTGAAGCATGTCTTAGAGCTCTTTCCATATCCATTCTTATGACTATTATTAATGAGGTCTACCTCAGTCTTTGGTGGCTGCATCGTTTCCACATTGTGCATGTGTTGCGTGTAGTTAACCAGTTCTGTGTGAAGGTACTAGGCTGTGGCTGGTTCACGGTCTAGCTCCAGGTCCAAGAACTCAAGAGGCATGTTCCCAGCCTGTCGCCCATATGAGCCGCATGGTTATATCTTGGCTCCTCTCTTGCCACCACCTGTGCCCTCCCTCTCTTTTCCTTCCTGTTCACCTTCAGTTCAGGAAAGAGCTGTCCACGTTCATTTCAGTTTCTGAGTCCTCGGTACCGGGTCAGCTCTTGCTAATGGATGTTGTCCTGTCGGTGCCTCGTTTGCTCACTGATTTAGATGTGGAAGGAAACTCTGTGTAAAAGGATTCAGAAATGCCTGGTGCTTGTATGTTGCTGACAGTTGTGGTGTCCCTCACTGACATTCTCTTCCTTCGTTTCTCCCTGAGTCTATACTCGCCTGGAGTCTGAATGGGCCTCAGCAGCTCTAAACTGACGTGACAGTCTCATTCTGGCCGCTAGTGGATGATGCCATGTCAACATGCAGGCTGGCTGGGTTGCTTAGCAATCCCTAGTACAGACAGACTGTGACAGTGAGCGGCTCACTGCTGTGCACACATCCTTTTGATAAAGGCTGTAACTCTCTACAGCAGATCTCTAACAGGAACATAAAACTGTCTTAATATCCTTTCAAAGGTCAAGTGTTTTGGGGGGTTTTTCTTGGTCTGTCCAGGGGCCTCCAAAATCTGTGGGGGACAATGGTAACTCTCAACCTCCACATTCCAAATGTGTAACCCAGTTTGTTCCCTGACCTAAAATCCTGCCAAATTTTGGAAGAGTGTTGTATCTTTTTCCTCTTGGAAATATTTGGGCAATTAACAACCAAGATAATCTGAGATGAAAGCATTCTAGTGCTTAGAACAGTGTTTGCCAGTTGTAACATTTTGTATAGTTCTCTGTATGCAGAGGTGGCTTTTGCGGCCATCCTCTTTGCTTCTTTCATTGTCGAAATACTTAAGGTTTTTGTTTCTATAATAAAGTATTTTTTCTATGTCCATCCCTTTTCCCTGTCTATTTATAACTTTGAAAATTGGGCGGGAACAGAAAGCTACTCCTTCTGCCTTTTCTCGTCCTCTTGGCTTTGTTTTCCCATCCCTGCGCACTCAGGAGACTGCAGCGCCCGAGCGTGTAACTGAAATGTGCTCTGTGAGTGAGTGGCGCAGAGGGAACATCGCTTTGTTTTCTAGGCCCGTCAGTTGGGCTCTTTCTGCCTGAGACATTGGGCTGAGGTGAATGGCAGGCAGGAAGTGCTGAGAGGAACCTGAGGTCGAGTAACTGGCGTCTATATCTCCATGTGGCGCCGCATTAGTCTGTCCAGTGTGTCAACGCCATGGGGCCACTCTCTGGGGTCTGCTGCCAGGGCGGCTGGGCTGGGGGTCCATCCATGTGTAAGAACATGCAGAAAATGGACATGAAAGGCGGTGAATTATGCATAAGGAAGGAGGTTTCCTTATGCTCAATAAAAAGGTCAGAACTGTTGTTGCGTTTTTCACAGAAGAGAAGAAGGGGTGAAGTCTGTCTAAATTGTGTTAGGTTGTGTGTTTCCTTTGAAGATAAGTGTTATGTAGTCATAGTCGTAAGGTGGCTCCTTATTTCCAGATTTTATGTCTTTGGGTAATTTAGCAAAGAACACATTATGTGGGGAGTCCTGATGTTACATATTAAAGGAATGGTGAACTGTGCTCACTTAACTGTAGTAAATAAAATGGCCCAAGGAGTCATTTTGTTCTGGGGCCATCTCTTAGACCAGAGAGGTTTTGTGAGCTGGGTATGATTGCAATGACTTTGAGGAGATGTGCACATGAACTTCCAAAAGACGATTTTCTCTGATAAGCAAGAGTAAAGTAGTGCAGCCATCAAGCAATTAAATTATTTCCCTGTGCTTTTATTGCCATAGATCTCAAACCATTTTGAGACCAAGCTCAGCTGAAGCAGAAGAGAGAACCTCCGCTGGGACTTATTCCAGTGCTTATGCTGTTGGTAGGTGGCCAAGTCGTTAATATGCCAAACGGTCAAATCTGTCAGAGGGATGGAAATGAAGAGCGAGAACAGTTGTGTGTGCCAGACCCAATTAAAATTTAAAAACCAGGAGGAGCTGATAAGCAAGGGTGAAGAACGAGAACCTAGATCCATGACTCTAAAACTGCTAGTTTGTTAGCATCATTTTCAGGGAAGTCCTCATTAAATCTGTAGTCTTGAGAAGAGTTTTTAAAACTTTCCTCCAAAACCTGCTTGTTAGAGAATCATCACTGAATGCCCCCAGCATCACTTTTTATACTCTGCTCTCACTTCTCTTCGTCTTTCCGCCACTGGAAGAGGGAGGAAGTGTCAGGCTCGATCTCAGCAGCTCCGTGTGAAGATGGACCACTGTGTCCATCAAAACTGCAGCGGAGACCTCTCTCCAGGTCGGTCTCTATGTGGTTCCTGTGGGCTGCGTTTACACTTGCAAGGAGGAGATGCTTCATGAAGACATAAGCAACTCCTGGCACCAGTGACTCGTCTGCCCCTCGGGACAGCACAGCCTGCCAGGATGGAGTGGCAGCATCTTGTTCAGAGTTTGAGTGACAGCCAGCACAGAAGACCAGCTCAGCCTTCCTGTTTAGGGAACCATCCATTCTTATTAAAGGGGCAGCACTAGAGAATTTTCATCATTCTAAGGTTGGGTAAAGATTTAATTGATCTTACGGGGTGGGTTTGCATGTCTATAGTTAGCTTCTTGCCTTCTGAGTTACAATAAAGACTGATTTGCACATATCACCACCTGAAGGAAACTCCAACTGGGAGATTCAGGGAGGCAATAATTAACACCTCTTTCTTTCCTTCTCAGTATGGGATGACAGGAGTCAGAGAGAGATTAATATCAGCTTTATTATGCAGCAGCACAGCTGTGGTTATGGGTTCAAGTTGGCATCAGATTCACAAGACACAAATATGTTTTAATCTCATATTACATTTAGGGGGCTTTATAGAGAGAGGAAAAGTGGGAGGTCCAGCAGGCACAGCATCTTCGTCTTATCAAGATGCAGCAAGCCGAGGACCAGCTCTTTTTGCCCTGTCTCTCACATGAGTTGTGGAAGGCTGCCAAGGACATGGAGGAAAGCCAAGGTGTGCGGGCTCACCTGGACACACAGAAGCCATAGCTCCTCTCCTCTAGTAATGTTTTATATCATTCTAGTCATGCAAGCCCAAGGCCTACATGCCAACCTGAGTGCAGAGTCACTTGAATGGGAAAGACACTCCCCATTTACCTTAAATGCTGTTTCTAAGGTAGTTCTGAGGGGGGTCCCGGTCTGTTGTAGGCCTGATGTTAATACTTTTCTCACCTTTACTAACTTATCACATCTCCAATCAGAGTCCTGATCCTCTCCACCCCAGCCTGCTCCTCTCGCAGTCTTTCCCGTTTTGATCAAGTCTAACTCCACCTGCCATTTGTGCACACCAAACACCTTTAGTAACCTGTGGCTCCTTCCCTCTTCGATGTCCCATGCCTACAGTCACCACCCTGTCCCAGGCCACCATCATCCCTGGCCTGGATGATTGCAAGAGCTGCCAAGCTGGTCTTCCTGCTTTTGCCCTTTGCCTTCCCGCTGCCCACGACTCCTATCAACAGGTGACTTTAAACATGGAAGTCAGAGTGGTCCCTAAAAAAAGAGAAAAGAAAAAAATATTCTTCTGCTCAAAGCCGTCTGAGGACCTCCCATGTCACTCAGTGTCTCTTGTCCTCTCCTTTTCTCCCTTCCCTCTTCACTGGCTCCCCAGCCAACCTGCCCTCTGATAGCCCCCTGACCTTTACGTATTGATTTTTGCATGTTATCTTTATTTTTCTGCAAGTATGTTAGCTCTGTGAGAGCAGGAAATCTGTTTTGTGTTTGTCTGTTTTTCTACTGCTGTATCACCAGTGCCTAGAACAGAGCATGGCATGTATAGGATGTAAGTAAGTATTTGTTAATTAGGAAACAGAGAAATCCATGAAGGATTGATTGACTGGCAAGACTTAGCAGCATGGCCACAGTGGGCCTCCTCATCCTCCACCCCGAAGTGGAACCAACTTTTCCACCCCATGGTCAGCTTGCTAGACAACCCCAGACCCTCCTGATGGCATCAGCCAGCTGACCACCGGCCCTGCTCTTCTGTCAGGCACTTTGGGAAGAGAGAGTCCTGAAGGGCTTGAGCAGACCTAGTTCCCTCTTTCAAACTCACCAAGCAACCAGTTCATTCTACCTTTCCTGAGGCAAGTGATGGGTGGGAGAGGGGCAGGAAAAGTACTCAAATGAAACCCCACCCCACAGAAGCATGAAGCTGGAGGCATAGAGGTTGCCCCTGATACATGACAGCCGTAATTCAGTATGAAGATGCTAGTGGACCAAGTGCACACCCCAGAGCAGGCCTCCAGAGGAGGGAGGGCCAGGCCTGTCAGATAGTGTGAAAACCAGAACACCCAGTGCACAGAGCTCGCTTTCTGGTACCATACTCTGAAAAGAGGAACCAGGTCTCCCTGGAGAAATGACTGACCTAGAGCTGGTACAGGGAATCTCCATTAGTACCAGAAAGTAAGGAATTGCTCAAAAAACAAAAGGATGGGGCATGTTAAAGTGACGCAGGAGCAATCCTGGCATTGCTGACCAAAGCTGGAGCTATTTGAGCAACAAAATAAATAACATAGTATTGGATTATAACTGAAAGTTTGAAATATCCTTAAGTCTGTGCTCATCTAAGTGAATGAATGAAGAGTTAATACAGAAGAGAGAAATCTTCCTTACAGAAGAATTCCAAATAATTTATGTATTAATTAATTGATATAGTAAGGAGGTAGAGCTTAAGCCCCCTCTGCGCACACACACATTCAAGTATGGGCTATACTTAGCAACTTACTAGAGTATGGAAAGAGAAAAAGCCAACCTTACAGTGGAGAGACCTGGCAAGCACTACCTTAGCCAGGAGGTCAAGGTCAACATCATCAGTGATAAGTCATGTTGCCAGCATGCAGCCTGTGATGGATAGCAAAGGCACGACACTTCTGCAGTCTTCTTCCTCCAAATCCCTAACCCCAGTCTGACCACAAGTAAAACATCAGACAAATGCAAATCAAGGAACATCCTACAAAATACCTGACCGGCACGCCTCAAAATTGCCAAGATCACGGAAAACAAGGGAAGGCTGCGGAACTGTGGCGGATGAGAGGAGCCTATGGAGACCTGATGACTCAGTGTGACGTGGGACCCTGGAACAGAAAAGGACATCAGTGGAAAAACTGTTGAAACCTGAATAACATGCGGAGTTTATTTAATAGTTATTTGCCAGTGTGGTTTCTTAGGGATGACAGATACACCATGGTAAGGTAAGATGTCAACAGGCAGAATGGGGTGAGGGGTACACAGAACTCTCTGTATTACCTCTACAGCTTTTCTGTATGTCTAAAACTATTCTAAAATTAAAAGTTTAAAAGAAAGCGATGAGGAATTAGTAAGCACTTCCACTTACAGCCCACCTAAGCCCGTGTGGCCTAGAACTTCATAGGCTGACCCTTCTTGATCCTTGGGGCTTTATTGGAGGGGACTGAACAGGCCTGATATAAAATGCCTTTATGTCACCAGGCTTCAGTATCATGGCAGCACTTGTTTATGCAAATTCCGTATCCCTTAGACCATGCTGGTTGGTATTCAGCCATTTATTGCCTAATTTACATTCTCTATCTTTATTTTTTTAGATGTATATGATTCTCCTTGTCTCACTTATCACATTCACTACCATAAAGAAACGTCTATTTAGATTTTAATATATAACTCCATATGGATGAGGCCCTTCACAGGGAGGAAACTACCATTTACCGGATACCTCCTATATACCAAGCCAGCCTTTGGTGCTCTTTCATTCAATCCAGATTCTGCAGAAGGTTTGAATTCTGCCTACCCGGGGAATGGGTTTTCTCTCTGGAGCTCATTGAAATGCTTAGAGTTGCTGGCATACTAATTTTGTGTATAAAATTCCATTCATCATAGGCTGGAGAAAAGATATTCTAAGGGTGCGTGTCCCTAGTACTTGAATTTTCTTTTCTCTGATTTTACATAATTGTAGGCAGTTATACTTTAGACAGGGAAGAAACCCACTCTCCGTCATCTCCCATCTCATCACAGGGATGGGTTTCTGTATTGCCCTCCTGCAGGCCTGGCCATGGAGTGTGATGCTGGTTAAGGCATATTGGTAGTCAGAGCTGCGACCTGGTACCAGGGCTGCCCACTGGGAGCGTGGGAGCACGGTCTGAAGGGCAAGCACGTGGGTTTGGGCACTTCCTCTCCATCCCACTTTGCAGCGTTGTCCACTACTCCTGCTGTACTTGGACCTCAGAAGCAAAGACTACTAGGAGCTCTGCACAGCACGCACATTCCTTATTCGGCACTTGAAACCTCAGAAAGGGGCGGATATATTCATTCTAGCTTCTGGAGCTTATAATGTGTTTCTTTCTAGCATCCTGGGCACATTATCCAATGCACATTCTTAGGGTTTTTCAACAGTAAAAGCTTCTTTATAAGAAATAGTAATAAAACAGTTTGCATTTCAGCATAACATTACTATTTTTCTCTGTGATAGAATTGCACTCTTCATTGCTTCGATGCACCTGGAGCGATGAGCGTCACTTGCTCCTGGTGCAGTCAGCAGTCTTCGTCACTTTTGTCATGATCTAACTAGGGTTTTTTTCAACTTTTTATTTTGGAATAATTTTATATTTACAGAAAAGTTGCAAAGATAGTACAGAGTTCCCGTATACCAGTCATCCAACTTTCCCTAATGTTAATCTCTCTAAATAATGTTTTAATCCAAGTCGTCACAAAACAAAACATTTTTTGGCAGGGGTGAGGGTCAGGGAGGTGGGAGGAGGGGGCAGGAGTTTGACACTTTGATGTCAGTAATTCCTAAAAGGAAAAGAATGGTCAAGCTTAAGTCTTTTAAGCATCGTGGGCTAAAGGCCAATATAGTCACAGACCACATGGTTCACAGACCACAGACCATAGCTTCCAAGTGTTTAAACAATGATGGCTGAACATTGTGACCAAGCTGCGCCTGACAATTGTTCAGAGGAAATGAGGGAATCCACCTGGTGGCTTTCCTGTTTTCATCATCTGATGTTCTTTTATTCTTAGTCTGTCAAGAAGTAATAACGGGGTAGCTGTGAAGTGGAAGGGGCTGTTTCTGCAGGGCAGTATAATTGGTGCCTGCCAGTTCATTGCTCTGTAATAGGAAAACACGATCAAACTAAGGTGCCCTCTGTCTGCGGAAAGGCCATCGTCTTTTCTGGAGCCTTTTTAGCAAATTGGTTTTCCTGGTGACTGAAATTTCAATACCCACAGACTCGTCACAGCTTCCCAGGCCAGGCTTCCTTCTCTCTGAATTGAATGTGGTTACTTACGGCCTCCTTGAGGTTGCGGGGGTATTTGCTCATTAGACTAGAGGGATATATTGCTGTTTGGTTTCCTCTGATGAGTCTTGTGTGCTAAATTCTTTTCTTCTAGGATCTGTTGAAAAATTCCTTTGCAAGAATGTGCCTCAAGATGTGGAGAGAGAAAATGAGGTACCCAGGCCATGTGCTGTGTAAATAATCAACACGCTAGTCCCATTGTTACTTAATTTTGAATAATCCCAGCATTTCCAAACAAAAAAAAAACCTTGCTTGAGTAGGAAAGTCATTTGGTGATTGGATGGGCATGGAACATGGTGGATGGGGAAGCTGATGAGTCCTTCAATTATGGTTTTTCCTAAAGCCAGGTGAGAATTTCAGAGTTCTTTCCCAGTAGTCATTGCTTCAGCAGAGTTGTGGCAATTGGAGTGAAAACACCTTTAAAGTGAATCATTGGTAATTACGTATATTGACAAGTGATTTGATTCAGGTGGGAACCTTGGCAAACAGCCATGCCTTTTCCAGGTGTTCCTGTTCTCTTATTTAGACAGCTTTCTTTTTTTTCCTAATATGCAAAGTTGCTGTCATGAAGCACCAAGATGAAAAGTGCAGCATTCACAGGATAAAAATATGGAGTGTTGTGAAATCCAGAATCATAAGTAAGAGGAGAACCTGAGAGTGTAAACCCGAATCCTCAAAGACCTGAGGGATTGCTCAATTAAAGCCAGCTCATCAAAGAACAGTGGCTTGCTTTCGTGTGTGTGTGGATAGATGCCCATTGATCCATTAGAATTAAGTGGGTAAGTTACAGTTTATTTTGATGATTTAAAAATATATTTAAACATAGTTTAGTCATTTAATAATATAGTGTACTTTTCACACTGTTTTAAAGAGCGTGTTTCCCGTGGAGCTTAAATTGCGCATATAGATCAGATGCAAATACTTCACATTGCAGGGAAGACAATTTATAAATATAGGGCTATTTACAGCCTTTCCGGCTTCTTGAATCCTAGAAATGTGTGTTGATGATTAAAATATTGTGGGAAAAGTGCTGCAGAATTGGAGGAAGCCAAATGAGGCTCTGAGATCTTATAGTGGAAAGTAAGAAAACTAGGAAAAGGAGGAGGTAATCAATCCAGAAAGATCAGGGGTGGGAGTGGACTGGGTGAGAAGGACATCTTTGGGGCGCTTAGAGAGAGCAAGAATTACAGTCTAGGGGGCCACTCCAGAGTGTGAGGAAGTTTGAATGAGAAATAAACAGGGAAGCAGGAGTTTAAAACATTTTATTAGAATTGATCTCCTTTGATATTTTTAGAAAGACTCCAGTAAATATTTGAATTTTTTCTTAAATTATTTTTGATGGTTAAGTTGATGTTTATTTGAATGAGACACACAGGAGCAGGCTCTGGAAGAGATATAATTACATTTTTGCCACAGTAACATATAGGATTCTAGATTAGAGGTGAGCATCTCAGATTTATTCAGGAATTGAGACAAGAGTCCAAGTTTATCACATCTGCCTTAAGCATGGAACATACAAGGTTGTTAAGTGAGCAACAATAAGACATGAAACATCATGATCATTCTTAGAGTTACGCTGAAAGCCAGAAGGCCACCATGCTGAAATTGGGATTACAGCTTTTCAGAGAATTCGTGGTTTAGCACTAGAAGTTCCAGGTGGAGACCAGGTTAAATGTGATATTGTGACCAATCTCCAAAATGAGGAAGTCTGAAAAACTTCCTAATAAAAGTCTCATCTGGGAAGTGGATTTTCATCCAACCTCACTAGTAACCCAATTTCTCAAGAAACTGGAATCATCCATGGAAGGGACAAGAAGGCTGGTGACAAAGACACTTTGTCCAGTTCAAGGTTCCTTTCCAGCACCAGCAGCTGAGGCCACACCCCCAAATGTGGCCTGGGCTGTGGGTGTGGGATTGCAGTCAAACATGGAACCACAGGACCATGATCGGGGCTCCTCCCTGCCAGCCACCAGTGATATTTGTGCACGGAGGCCCTGAGTTGTGCTTAGCCAATGCCAATGAGACGCTGCACCATGTGAATCCAGGGTAGCTTAAAAATCCTCTGCTGGGTTTCTCTGTTGATGTTTTTCATTTTGGTCTCCAAACTTAGGGATGTGGGCTCTGTGTTGTGGGTGAGCTGGGCTGAGGTAGGTGGAAGGAAAGGAAGGAGGTACTTGGGCTCTGTGCAGCACATGCCCTTTGTGCAAACATGGTGCATTTAATTTCCTTTATTTTGGAGATGTGTGAACTTTCCTCTCTGCGTGGGCCTTGTAGTTACCCATTGTCTCTTGTTCATTACAGGATCACAAAAGAGATGCTGGCTTCTCACAGTGGCTACTATTGCCTGATGAAATATGGATTTATGTGTTTTCCCTTCTGTCGCACAAAGAGCTCGCTCAGGTTGCACAAGTGTGTCACCACTTCCACCAGCTTGCAAGTGATCAAAGTCTATGTAAGCAGACAAAACAGTATTCGAGATGAATGGGCCATCATTGGGAAGAAAATGTCCATTTGGCTTCATCAAGTTTGCTTTCTAACTTTTCCATTGTCTAAGATAAGTCCTTTGGAAAATGCAGTACACTTTACTGGCCATTGTCATGTTGACTGGTACAATACTGTGACTTATTCATTTGTTCATCCATCCAACCTATACACCAGGTGCTCTGGGGATGACGAAGAGAATGAGACATCGGCCCCACCCTCAAAGTACTTTTGTGCTATTGGGGAGACAGATCTAGAGCCAACTAATGGAGACATAGCTAATAATGGCAATAATAATAATAATGATCATTATAATCATTTACTGAGTACTTTCTACGTGCCAGGCATTATACCGTTTCATGGACTTTATCTCGTTTATTTCTCCCAACAATCATATGAATCAGAACTTTCTCCATCCCCATCTTGCCGAGGAAGGCAGGCAGTCTTGGAGAGGTTCAGTGACGCGCCTACAATCTCATGGCTGGTAGATGGCAGAGCTTACTCATGAACTCCAGTACTGCTGTTACATAGGTGAAAAGCAAAGTGCTGGGTAGCTGTGGAAGGAGGGAGTAATTCAGGAGGAAGTAGCATTTGTACCAAGTTTTGAAGAATGTGTCATATTTTGAGAAGTGGAGAAATGGAAGGTAGAGGGAAGAAGGGCATTCTGAAGAGGTTGAATAGCAAGAAGAAAGCAAAGAGACATTGCATAAATTAGGGATTATGTGTGGCTACAGAAACCCAAAATAACAGCTTAAACTTTCAGAAAGGGTTTTATTTTTTTCTCACATGACATGAAATCCATAAATGGGTTGCCCAGGACTGATATAATTGCTCAGTGATGTCATCAAGGAGCCAGGTTCCTTCTCTATTTCTGCCATCCTTAGGTCATAGCTTCTATATTTAAGGTTGCTTCATGGCCACAAGAGAGCTGCTGAAGCCCCAACCACTGTGTCATAGATCCAGAAAGAAAAAAAAAAAGTAGGGAAGAGTAAAAAGGCACAAACTCCTTTTAAAGATTTCTTTTCTTAAAAACCCCTCCAATGACTCTTATATCTCATTGGCCACCTCTTTGTATAAGGTAGAGTAGGAAATTCAGATGTTGTATGTGGGTACATTGATTTGCTCAACATTATGGGGATTCTGTTGAGAAGATGAGCATGGATCTTGGAGCAGTAATTAGCATACTTGCTATAAATGAGAAGAGTGAACAAATGGCATGTGGCAAGTGGAGTTCAGAATGTTGTGGAGAAGGAGGCTGGGGTCAAGCAGTAGAAGGAGTCCCTGAAAATGCTATACTAGATTTTATCCTCTGGATAACAGGGAACATTCAAAAGATCCAACTAGAAGCAACGTGAAAGGTGCATTAGAGAAAACTGTAAATAGGAAGAAAATCTAATAAATTGGAGTCCGCAGTGTACCTTGGGCAGAAGAAGGTGGCAGGGTACCAGCAGCGCGCATGAGAAGAGGGGACACGTGCCCCAGACCCTCTGCTGCTGGAATCAACAGAGTGGGGTGGCTGTGGGGGCGGTGGGGGAGGGACTGGGTGTCCACAGTGACTGAGGTTTCCAGTCAGAGGGACAGGAGAATGCGGTGACTTCCCAAACGGTCTTACCGCGGCTTCATTCCATCATTAGAGAAAGCGCTCAACACCGTATTGAGGACGGATCGCAGCAGTCTAGCTCTGGTCTTTCAAAGGCAGGGAGCAGCTTCTAACAAGAGAGATTACTGAGCAGGGAGTTTCCTAATTTGGGTCACTTGGCTTTCTTGGATAATTTTCTCCTGGGTGTTTGTGGTAAGCTGCTTCATAGGATTCCCCAAACCAGGGATTGGTGAACTTTGGCCCAGGGGCCAAATTTGGAAGCCTCCTGTTATTGTAAATGAAATTGTTTTGGAATGCAGCCAGGCCCGTTTGTGAACATACTGTCTGTGGCTGCTTTCTTGCTTCAGTGACAGAGTTGAGCGGTTGCGACAAGGACCACATGGCCTGCAAAGCCTATGGCATTTAGGATTTCAAGTTTCTTCATAACTTAAAAAAAAGTTTGCTGGCTTCTGCCTCTAAAACATGAGACTCTACCTGATGGCTCTTCTTCCAGGGCGTTTTCTGTGGAGAGAGAACGCTAAGCATCCTTTCACTCCCGGGCCTGAGACTGAGGGGCTTAATTAGTACTTTTTGTAATGTTTGAGCTTTCTTGGAAAACAAATTTCAAAAAATAAACGACATCAAATAAAACAAAATTAAAATACAATTTTGTTCTATTTGCCTACTCTGCCAGGTGATTAAGTAAGTTATGTTGTCATAGAAACATTAGAAATTAATTATGAGCCCCTGACAGGGCTGTTTCATATTTCACGTTTCGTATATATTTGTTATTGCAATCTCAAGTGTGAATACTGAGTCTTCCAGTGGAGCAAATAATAAAAGCAGACCTCTTCCCTATTTGTGGCTAACCTTAATTGAAGGTCATTTTAAGATTATGATTTTAGGTGTTGCGCATTTTGACACCGGGACAAATGGTTACATAGAGAGTAGAAACAAACAGAATAACTTCTGTGGGGTGAAAGAATAATTCTCCTAGGAGATCTTTGTTCTGCGAACTATTGCTAAGGCAGCCCCTCAAATTACACCATAGCTTCACATTCACTAAATTGAGAGGGAAAAATTTCAGGAATAAATAGGACACCCCTGAGCTCTTGGGCACGTGTGGCTGTGGCTGTGTATGAGCAGCCCCACTGTACAGGCCCAGTTGAGGGAAAGGGTGTTTATGGAGGGGTAGCTGAGGCCTCCCGTTCACTTGTTCTTCTAGGCACCCTGCAGTCTGTCCCTGGCTTAAGTTCAGACCTTCAGGAGCTGTTTGTCTCCCTGCCTTGCAGCGTCCCCTCAGGGGAATTTCATCTGGCCTGTGGCCATCTCAGTTGCTATTGAGAAGCAGCCCTAGGAGGCTCATTGTACTTTCTGGAAGCTTGTTGTTGAGAACACCACACCCCACATTACACAGCTGCCTCCCTGTGGCACCCATGGGGACGTTGCACTACCCGAAGTAGTTGTCCTTCTGTTTCGTGGCTCTTTTCTCGACTGTGCTGCTTTAGAAAGCATAGAGCCATGTTGGTGGCCCACCTATAACGTGTATAAAGGACTTCGGGGGTATTTATTTTGTTGACCAAGCACAGTGCTGGGTCTGAAAGTTCTCTTATCCTTATTTTTTCTTTACATACCTTTTTGTTCCTTTTGAAATGATTTTCATAATTTAGAACACTGCTTTAAATTATAGACCGTACTGTCTACACTATCTATGCTGTCGGCAGACCGCCTGAACTTGTTTTGGGATTCAGACTTTGAAAAAAGCAGTGGGTCTTAAACTTGAGCATGTCCTGGAATTACCTGGAAGGCTTGGGTAAGACAGATGACTGCCCTCCCCCACATTTGTGATTCTGTGGGTCTGGGCCAGGCCTGAGACTGCTCATTTCTAACACATTCCCAGGAGATGCTGATGTCTTATTATGCAGCTGGCCCCAATCTAGGCATTGGGGGATGAAGGTCCTTGTCCTGAGGGAATTTTCTGAATGGCTGCAGAGATGAGGAATACATATAAATCAGAGAAAAGGACAATGCCTGGCCAAGTGTAGATCAGGGGTGGAACGATTCATTGTGAATTTGGTCTTTAGGAAGGAATGCAGGGTGAAGTAGGGCTTGAGCTGGTCTTGGAAGTGTGGATAGGGGTTGAATGGTGAATAAAAGATGATGGGGAGAGGCCTTGTGATTAAAGGACAGACTAGCATGGGCAAAGGGCCAGCACTGGAAAAAAGCCCCATAAAACCAAGTCTGGCTGAACGCAGAACACACTTCCAGCTCTGCAGAGCAGTGTGCCTCCTTGGCCATGGAGGAGGGTGCCCCACCCAAGCTGGCCCCACCCTCCCGTCTCACCTCCCCTCTGCTTTCCATTTGATCAGATCCCTCATCGTTCCCTGACAACTTTCCAAGGCTGTTCCTGATCCTTTGCCCCTGATCGCTCCTTCACCTGATGGCCACTTTTCTTCTTTCTGTACTGGTCCCACAGGGCACAGCTCAAATGCCACCAATGACCCAATGAAAATGCTCCTGGTTCCTCCCCAAACCCTACATCAGTGATGAGAGAATAGCTTGCATTGACGAGGACATCATTCCTTCCCCATTTACTTGTGTCTGACTTTATCGTCTCTCAATTCTAGTTTCCCAGCTCTTCCTCTGTGACAACCCCTGTTCTCCAAGTGTGGTCCACAGACCGACAATATCAGCCTTACCTGGGGACTTGCTGGAAACGCAAATGCTCCAACGCCACCTCAGACCTGAATGGGAGACTCTGGGGCTGGGGCTCAGCAATCTGAATTTTCACAAGCCCTTCAGGTGATTCTAATCAGTGCTGCTCTATGAAGAAAGCTAATTACTGGCAAGTGGCCCCTGAAGCCCTCCCAGATGACATCCCAGCTCTCTAATTACTAACAGTCCATTTTAAGAGTTGAGATTTTTGTGTTTCTTATAAGATGAACAGTTTTAATTTCCTCAGCAGTTGGCTTTAAAAACAAAATGAAGATGTTTTCTCCGTAACTTTAACATTTCACTGACTTTATTAGGTAGTACAAATGCCCTGGCCACTTTTTTTAATGATGGTAATTCAACCATAGATAATGAACGCTTTGGAGTGCTGTAACAAATTGGATAATAATAATGATTTAAGAGAAGTCAAGCTATCTAACAGCAGGAAGAAAAACCCTGTTGATTAAATTCATTTTTCTAAAAATCACATCCGTTTAAACTATATTCATACCTAAAATCTTCTAATGCCTTGCATAATCTGTGTCTAGTATAAATACTTTCTCATAGAAAGAACTGAAGAAATAACAAGGAATTCTATCTAGAAACACTGCAGTTTTTAAGGATTTGCAACACGTTGCTTATTCTCCAGTGAAATTATAACTGCTTGGCCATGACATAGAGTATGTGAGAAAGCTTTTTCCACACAAACACAAATGTGTGTATATATACACAAATCTAAGTGTATGTAAGTGACCTGCTAAGTTCTTTTATTAATTTTTTCTCTTTTAACTTTATTGAGGTACAATTCACAAAATATACACTCATTTAAAGTATACGATTTGATGAGTTTTGACAGTTACTCATAAAACCACCATCACAATCAAGATATAGAACATTTCTTTTACCCCAAAATGTCCTGTGTACCCTTGCAGTCTATCCCACCCTCCAACCCTGGTCTCAGGCAACTTTTCATTGCTGTGGATTAATTAGCATTCTACATAAATAGAACTATACAGTATGTATTCTTTTGTGTCTGGCTTCATGAACTCAGCGTGATGATTTTGAGATTCATCCATGTTGTTGCAAATTATTAGTAGTTCATTCGTTTTCATTGCTGAGTAATGTTCCATAGTAAGGATGTACATTTTGTTTATCCATCCACTTGCTGATGGATATTTTGAATTTTGGCTATTGAAAATAATGCTGCAACGAGTATTCATATACAAGTCTTTGTGTGGACATACATTTTTATTTATCTCAGGTAAATGCCTAGCGAAGAATGGCTGGGTCATATGCTACATGTAAAAATTTGAACATTTTTTAAAAACTGCCAGATGGTTTCCAAAATAATTGTGCAATTTTGTGCTCCCATCATCAGTATATAAGACTTCTGGTTGTTGTACGTCCTCACTAAAACTTGGTATCATCAATCTTTTGGCCATTCTGATGTGTGTATTTTTGGCCATTCTGATATGTGTGTAGTGATATCTCATTGTGTATTTAATTTCCATTTCCCTGATGACTAATGATATTGAGCAGCTTTTTATGTGTTTATTAGCCATTTGTATATCTTCTTTTGTAAAGTATCTGTTCAAATAACTTGCCCTTTTTTTGTTATTTTTCTTATTAAATTGTAAAATCTTTTCATACAAGTCCTTTATCAGATATTTGTATTGCAATACTTTCTCTCAGTCTGTGGTTTGTCTTTTCATTTACTTAATGGTGTCTTTCAAACAGCAAATTTTTTTCATTTTGATAAAGTCCATTTTAACAATTCTTTTTTCTATAGCATGTGCTTTTTATAGCCTATCGAAGACATTATTGCCTACCACTAGGTCACAAAAATCTTCTATGTTTTTTTATTGAATTTTCATAGTTTTAGCTTTTACATTTAGGTTGTTTATTCACTTGAGTTAATTTTTGAGTGATGTTCATTTTTTTCCCAATATGGATATCTAATTCTTCCAGCACTGTTTGTTGAAAACTATCCTTTCCCCATTGAATAGTTTCAGTATCTTTATCAAAAACCAACTGACCATATAAGTATGGCTCTATTTCTATACTGTATCCTATTCAATTGATCTGTATGTTTACACTTATGCTAATTCTGTACTGTCTTCCAACTCATGAATATGCTCTATTTCTCTTTTTATTTCACTTTCAAAAATAATATTTCTTAGCTATGTCTTAGGTATCTTATTCTGGTAGAGGTTTGCCTATCTTTTTTAAAATTTATTCCTAAATATTTTGTGATTTTTGATGCTATTGTAAATGGAATTGTTTTTATAAATTTTATTTTTCTAATGTTTGCTGTTAATACAACATTTACAATTGTTTTTCTGTGTCAACACTGTATCCTCTTACCTTGCTAAATTCACTTCTCATATTTAATATTTAATTCTGGATTTCTGAGGATATAAATAATAATGTTACCTGAAGATAGAGACAGTTTTACACCTTCCTTTCCAATGTTTTTTCCTTTTATCTTAGTGCCTGCATGCAATGGCTAGGGCCTTTAGGACAATGTAGAATAGAAATGGTGAGAGCAGTCATTCTTGCCTTTTTCCCAATCTTAGGGGGAAAGAGTTTAATATTTTACAATTAAGTCTGATATTGGTTGTTGGTTTTTAACAGATGACATTTATCAGATTGTGGAAGTCTCTTACTCCTGGTTTGCTGAGTTTTTATCATGATTGATATTGCATTTTATCAAATGCTTTTTATGCATCTAGTAAAATGATACAATTTTTCTCCTATATTCTGTTAATATGATGAATTACATTGATTGATTTTGGAATGTTAAGTCAGTCCTTCATTTGAATATTAAACTCAAGCACATCATGGTACGTTATCTCACCCATTGAGTTCTTAATTTTTTTCCTTCTTATCTTTCAGTTCTAGAATCTCTGTTTCTTTATCAAATCTGCTATATCTCTTTTTAAAGTTTCCAGATCCATTTCAAGATTTTATTTGCTGGAACCTAGTGACCTACTTGTTGTATAGCCTGTGTCTGGTCATTTGGAGCTCTTTGGGTCTCTTTCTGTCGTCTCTTATTTGTTCTGGGTTTTGTTCATGTTATCTTCTCTTCTTATGAGCCTTGCTTTCTTTGATTATATGTGGAACATTGTTTTTGAAAATTTGTGGGAGAATTTGAGGCCTAAAATGGTTTTCTATTCCCTTAGCAGGTGCTTTTATTTGCTTCTGCTTGGCCCCTGGGGGCACTACTAATATGTTATCAACTTTATCCAATTTCAGTGCTTGAGATTTTCTTGACCACCTAGAAGAGTCCACGTTCCAGGACCGTTTACTTTCAGTTCACCCTTCTCCTAGAGTTCAGCGCACACCCACAGGCGGTTGCTTTGGGTCCTTGCAGGGCCTGCATTCTTTCTTTTGGTTCCCTCTATCCCAAAGAGCCTGTGAAAATCACTGCCTGGCCTCTCAGCTGTCCTTGCTGGATAGGCATATGCCCTAGGGCAAAGGGGGTTTCAAATGCTGGACTCACCACACTGGATTCCAGCTTTCCTGGCATTTCGGCTAGTAGTTCCTCACCACTTTGCTAACTTTTTAGCATTTTCAAGATGACTTTTAAAAAATACCTTTTACTTAGCTTTTTCAGTTGTCTTCAGTGGGAGGTTTGGTTTGAATTACCCAAAGCAGTTGCCCTGATGTTGCCTCCCCGTCCCCGATCCCTTTAGAAATGACCCCTAGGTGGTAGTCACACTATGGATGCCACATCTCCCTTTTCCAAAGGAGAAGAGTCACTTCCCAAACATAGTTCTCTGTTTTGCTCGAACATTTGCTTCAGCCTGTCTCTCACTCATGGGCATTTTTTTTATTCAATGGTGAGTCGGATACCAGTCCATCCTGTCCTGCACACTCCAGGAAGTGTAGACCAAGCTCCTTGAGAAGTCTTTTTAAATTATCTCTTGAGAGGAGGCCTGAGTATTTCTCCCATCGGGGCTGTTACCGTACTATATCAACAAGGCTTTCTAAAGAAATTCCCTCAGCTCCAACTTTTGTCCTCTCCACTTCAACCTTTTAATCCTCAGAGTAGATGAGTGGCTAAGGGTCGCAAAACTGGTTTCCAGAAACTCCCTGTATAAACATTTAGAGTCCAGGTAACTGGCACATATCGCCTTGGATGCTGACGTGGAAACATTTCAACATCCTATTATGTATTTTGCAAATATTTTCCCAGTTTGCCATCTGCCTTTTGATTTTCTATGGTGTTTTCATGTTCCAATGTTAAATTTTAATATAAGGAAATCTTTTCGTGATTTCTGACTCTGTATTTTTTTAAAAAACATATTTTATGCTTCTGGGGTTGTTTAAATATTTACCTATATTTAATTCTGCTACTTTTATGAGTTCCTCTTCTACTCTTAAATATTTAATCAATCTGGCATCTGGCAAGTTAGGGAATCTAACTTTATTTTCCCCAAAATGGTAAGCCACCCAAATACTTATATGTATTTATTTTTTTCTAGATTTTTATATTTTATTCTATTGGTCTGTCTATTCTGCTAACGATAACGTAATTGATTAATTGAAACCAAAATCTGGATGTCTTTGTCTAAGTGTTCACATTAATCCTGCTGATGTAATTCTTTGTTAGACAGTTGCTTTTGAATTAAATAGCCTTATTGAAGATGCTTCGATGAAATTATACTTAAGTTGGAATTTTTTAAATTGAATCACAGATTCCCTTTGACTCACAGTGTAATTTTTGGTTGTCCAATGACAGTCAGTCGTGGTATATGGGTGGAAAACTCCCAGTTTTCATGATCCAGTCAAAAGAAGGTTTAAGGCTATAAACAAAACACGTTTGAGGTGATGCCAACGTCAGTCAATTGATCTGAATTTCACCTGCTACTAGCCAAAGATTCTGGCTTTTGTGACATTCTCACGGTGAAATTCAAAGCTAATAATTAACTGACTGTCTTAATAGACTGCATGGCGGGAAGCAGCAGACTCTGGAGTTTCAGACACAATGCATCACAATGCATCAGTGTTTCAGCCATCAGGCCTGTTGTTTATTGTGAGCAGGACCCCTGGGCTGAGATTCTGCAAATGAGGCTAAATGTTTTAAGCAGGTGCATGGTTACAGGGTAGCCAAAGGGATCGTGTGGTCATCTTTGAGTCACATCAGAATCTCCATCATCTGAAATGGAATTCAACTCGCCATAAATAAGAGCAGACACTTACTCTGGGGAATGGTCTGAACTGGTTATGTTTTCCTGTTTCCAGGAGTAGATAAATGTAGAGAAAAGTTTGCACAATATTACCAGAGAATTTTCACTTTTGTTTACCCAATTATGTAAAAAAGTAGTTTTGTGAATACTTAAAACATTTTTATTATGTTATTTATTCTCTACTTTTTCCTAAAATAATTTGAGATGTTTATAAAAATGTTTGAAATATAAGAAGTTTCAATTTGTAAGATAATAAAGGAAAAGAAAAATCAGGATCAGGTAGAAAGAGAAAGGAAAAGAAAGAATAAATACATAGAAATCTGTGCTCTTTTTATCCTTTCATAATTGTAACATCACTGCACAATGGACTCTGCATTTTCGTGGACCTAGGAAAAGAGGTGAACATGATGAATCACAAAATTCTCATTGCTCAGAAAAGAAAAACAAGCCAGTTGCTCAGAGAAAAGGCTTTCCATGGGAGTTCATTCCTTATATGAGAGACACTTCTGCAGTGACATTTTTTAGGGCAGTGATGTCATTGTCTGTGTTACTTTTCTTGATGTTGTTTAGGTTTTGTATCTTATAAATAAATTGTATCTTATATGTGAGGAATAATCCATCAGCCAATTTCACAGACATTG